CCTCCTCACTCGCCAACAATCCTGGGGGGAAAAGATTAATTAGCGACTAATATGTTTATTGTTCGATCAGTAATACCCCCTACCCCAATCTTGATCTGATCCATCACTGGGCGTCACTTGTGCGCTTTTTCCTTCTTTTATTTCAGTTAGGCTAGTTAGCATAGCCTTTAATAGAGCAAATTTGGATGCTGAGAATGCAGGAAATGACATTTCCGGGCTTCAAATTTCAAACATTTTCTGAGGGAGTATCAATCTCGTTCCCTGCAGAGTATGCCTGTTCGCGGGTTAGGTAGTGGCATGCCACTACCTAACCCGCGAACAGGCATACTCTGGGAACGAGATTGAGGGAGTATATGGGGGCCACACACGTGGCCTTCGGCCATAGCTATCCCCCTCTAATATATTATCTCACAGAAAGTTCATTTTCAAAAAATGCCCCCCACGGGAAGCTCCTTAAAAAAGTTGCGAACCATCGGCCCTCTGGCAGGAATCAAACCTGACCGTTGTCGAGCTCTAACGACAACTTCATGCATAAATACCAAGGTGGTGCCAATGTTAATGTATAGTGTATGGGTGAATATCAGAATTTTGAGCATCTCACTCGATATAACTAATTGTTATAAAGGGAGTTTGTAGATGGAAATTTCAAGCGGAATTTTAATAGACCTAACCAGAAGCTCGACCAGAAGCAGTTGCGATCGGCCTACTGGCAGGAATCTTCACTTGACAGGAATATATTAATGGTCAGGAATCTTCACATTGACATTCACTTTATTTTCTGCACCATAAACAATACTGCAATAGTGTGCGCTTTCCAGTTAATTTTCAAAGCACGAAGGCTAGCAGCTTCATCGCCAATCGCGGGCAATCTCCATGTACGAGGATATGAAAATATGCATGACTTAATCGTACAGGGTATTGTGTTCCTTAGTTACCAAAATAGCCACATCTTGATTATCTGGTCTCGTGTTTGAACGTGAAGACACGACATTTACTTATTGTTTCCGTGTAATGAACGATAGAAAGACTAAATTGAAAAGAATAGCCACTTAAACGCACAATAAAAACAATCTCATATCGATAAGAATGAAACATGCAACATAATCACTTCTGAAGTCGGTAATCGGTTTGACATCAAACCGTCATATTTGTTTAAGAGTATTAAAAACAACTGAGGAAGATAATTTATTGAATAAATCGCTGGAAAATAAACCGGAACCTCGACCGGAACGATAAAATATGTTTTCTAATGCTACAAAATAGGACAAACTTTAATGGAAAATACTTTAATCAATGTTTAAAGTTACTTTTGGTATATGTAAAACTGATATAAATAATGATTTGAAATGGCTGCCTAATTATGGAATTGCACGAAAGGTTAAAAGGTCAAGGAATGTTTGATAAAGTCCTAAGAATGGATAAACATGGTTAAACATTCTGTCTGTTTGTTTTTCAACACTCTTTTCAAATTCCTACACTCATGATCAAAGTAAAGTAAGGATCAAAATGAGCGACTTAAATCACGATGCTGACTATCCGAATTACGTTGAAGAATACTTTGATAAATCCACCGAACGAGAGGTACTCACGGAATGGGTGCTTGCAAACGCAAGCAAAATCATTGTTTCTGACTTCTCGAGTGGCAAATACTCAATACTCGATGTTGGCGCGCCAGACGGTGATATTGATTTGAAAATTCTGTCGCTAATATGGCGGAATTTAGAGCCGGGCACGGAGACCTCTTTTCGTGTTGTGAATGCGCAAGCTGCCGTGTTAGAGAAATACAAAACTGCAGTAACTTCCAGCAAGAAGCGGGAGTACAAGAAAATTGCATTCGACTGGCGTGCGGTAACATTGGCTGGTTACCTCGGGGGAACATCTGGTGAGTCTGGCGGATGTAAGATTAATTTGGTTTTGTTCATGCAAAGTATTTATTACGAAGAGCCCGAACAGGCGCTAGTTGACATCTACAACAAGGAATTGGAACACAACGGCGTGATCGTGTGCGTTCTCCAAGACGAAAATAATTTTGCGATCAGACTGCAAAACGAGCTACAAGGCAAGGAATTCCCAAAGTCTAAGAAAAACATCAGCGGTAAAGATGTCGTAGCTATTGCGGAGAAACATGAATGGAAATGGGAGGTAGATACGCTGGAATATATCTTAGATGTTAACGAATGTCTTAAAGAAGACTCGAGTAAAGGAGATATGCTGCTCGATACGATGTTCAATGTCAAAGATATACGAAAACAAGCCTCGGCCGATGTTATCGAACAGATCACGAAGTCCTTAGAGAAAGAAGCGGCCGCGAGTGGTGGCTCTAAAATCCTCAAAGAAAAGGTTGCAATTGTTATTATTTATAAATGACACGGGACAATGATAGGCATATTGCCAAATTTGGGTAATATACCCGACTTGATTAGGTAGAACATATTCCGAAAATACCGTATGCATCTTGAAAATCCAAGATTTGGATTATGTAATGGTTTATATATTTCGACTTTATTTCGAAGCTTTCTTCTGCATTATAAAATTTGTCTTGGTTTTGATTCATATCTTGGATTTTCAAGATCTATTCTATATTAATTAGGAAAGTGAGGGAACTCGATACAAACTGTTTGAACTTTAGAGATACCGAGTAAATAATATAAACAATTTTAGCCTTCTAGAATTTCGGTATATCCGAGCACCGCGCATGTGCAATAATCAAATATATAATAGTCCGTACAAATCAACCGCTCACATTTTAACTTTCCTGTGTTATGAAACATTTTTAGCTTTTAATACGTATACATACAAGATTCAAGTACGAGATTCGCAGAGAAATTAGATAATAAAGGTCCATACGGACTGGACGCGAATACGCGATTCGTCATTGCGACGCGAATTTTCAATTTTCAATGACATTTAACTTTACTATTTTTCTATTTTTTTCAAATATTCGGAACCACTTAAGCAATTTAGCTATAGACAGAACGCGATTTGGCAACGCGAATTTTCAATTTTCAATGACATTGAACTTTACTATTTTTCTATGTTTTTCAAATATTCGGAATTAAGCAATTTTAGCTATATTTGGTTTGCATATCTTGTAAAATACTTATCCGTTTGTCGAATCGTATTCGGTCTGTATGGGTCTTTCAGTCTTTACGAATGTACCTTCGGTTGCCCTAAGCCTATATAGTCTCCTACGCAGCCGCTCTTTGTGTCGAGGTTTCTCCCCACCTCGACACAAAGAGCGGCTGCGAAGGAGACTACTAAGGCTAAGGCTAAGGTCTAACCATTGAACTATAAATAAACTGGAAGGCTAACTCAGGGGGGGGGGGAAATTGAAGCCAGTGCATTTTAGTTTTTCTGAGTTATGAGCAGAAATACTCAACACTGAACGTTGGGCTATATATCAAATTGAAGCTATTGAAAAACTCTATTTGGTGTAGAAATTTCAAGACTTCAGCTAAAAGGGAAATATTGAAAAACTACAAACATAATTACCGATAATTTGCCGTTTTGCTGTTGTTTTTGTATTTTTTAAATATTTTTCTTTTCGCTGAAGTCTTGAAATTTCCACACCGAATAGCAATTTTCAATAGCTTCAATTTGATATATAGCCCGACGTTTGGGGTCAAGTATTTCTGCTCATAACTCAGAAAAACTATTTTGGCTTCATCAAATCATAGGCCTTCATCGTAGCAGTTAGCCTTCCAGTTTATTTATAGTTCAATGGGTCTAACACAGAAAGTTTTCTTTTGCTTTTTTGAGCACATTTATTAATTTTACATCCCTGAACAGAACGTGGTGGACTATAACAAAAATACTTGACAAATCAGAGTATATGCACATTGCCGGGCCCGTAACTATACTGTGGCTATGAGTCAACCAAGTCAGACGACTCGGTAAGATTTTTTGTGAAAAAATTCAAAGCAAGAAGACTTCAAGTTTAGAGAAAACAGATCCTGAATTATATTTATGCAATTTCTGATGAAGGGTAGAAGTATGAATTAGCGTCCCAAATATTGCCACAACACGTTTTTTATTTTGCAACTGATCATGTTGGACCAAAAGTACTTGATTCTTGAATTCGTATACGATTCACGATTGGATACCTGTAATACAATTGTGGGACACATGCACTATGAAATTATATAATCATTGTGTCACTGTTTATGAGATTGATTTTTTTATAATTGTTGATCTTTGTTAAAATTTCTCCCAAAATGCAGGAAATAGTCAATAGAGTTTCTCAGAAAATCAAACATTTTCTGGGGCAGCATGCCCAGACGACTTGATTCGGTAAATCTAAAATCCTAGTTACGGGTCTGTATGCACTAATGAGAAATTTTGTATGTCTTTTGGGAAGACTATATAGCTACAGTACACTATAGATCTGCTCCCGAGGGAAAGTTTTATATTCTCGAGTCTCAATGTTTCCAGAGACTTAGCTAATTAAGCGTTTTGGTATATACTGACGAAAGAAAAATCAACAACAACAATTAGTGTAAATTTCTCAAATTAGTGTATAGTTCATGACGAAAACTTTATATAGTGTAAACGAGTCAAAAATGAAAGAACCTAAAACGGTTTCAGTAGCGTATATATCTTGTTTCCTGTTGTGTATTTTCTCTGGGATACATTGCATTTACCTAAAGGTACGTGGCCACAAATCAGCCAGTGACGTTTGGTGTTCACCCTAGCCACGTAACTATAACAATAAGACTTATATCTCAAATGAAGGATTCCATGCACGGTTTATTAATAGTAAAATATCAATCAAATCCCAATGATTGCAGAAGTGAAAGGCACCTGCCAAAATGGCAGATTTATGAGAGTCTCCCAGGGAGACTGTATATTAGTCCCTTGCTTTCTTGGAAATTTTCTCTTCGTTTCCTTCTTCACCACAGAGATTTTACCATGTTCTGTTCCCTTTTTCCCCAAGCTTACACGTTCCCTATGATTTTTATGCTTTGTTTACGTGTTTCCATTGAAAAATGTGACTCGATTGTGTCAGTTTGATGGGGCGCCCATGATAGAAAGTCCCTGCCGGTATTTATCATTTATAGACCCGGAGCGAGGGGAATTCGGCGTAATATTTCCCGAAGTGATGATATTTTCCGAGGGGCTTTGCCCCGAGGAAAATATCATCACTGAGGCGAAATATCGCCGAATCCTCCGAGCGGAGGGTCTATAAATGATATATTATACCGAAAGATAAAGAACTCACTAAGAGTCTATCAAGTTCAGAATAAACTTTAAAACTTGCTGAATATTAATAACTACGCGAATACAATTTTTAATTTCTTATCTATACCTGAGTTTTTGACGTTTTCTCCCTAAAATATTTGAGCAAGTATCCTTTGGATCGTTGAAAGTAACATACGTGTTGAAATAATTTGTTTACTTAATATTAAAATCTTCTGTAGTTCTGTACGAAATTAATACAAACATGCAACAGCTCGCGAACGCCATATTGTTTCAGAATTCAGAGCGTGGTGTCCGAGCGTCGCGCGTGAGCGTGGGATACTATAATATCCCACGGTGGATCTGCCGTGGGATATTATAGTATCCCACGCTGGATTGCGAAATCATGAATTTGAGTGAAATACCGTAAAAAATAGATAGATAGATAGATAGATAGATTTTATTTTGACACGCTAACTACGTCAATTAAAAACATTGATTTCCACGAAGGGCGTGTGTTCAAAAGTTATTATATATAAGTGTTGTTATGACTCTTATGGAATCAAATAAAAGAAAATAGAAATAATCTAACTGTTCCAATTGACAAAATTGACAATATAAACAACTAACAAAACATATAGATAACTATTTACAATAAAGGATATATATATATGTATGCATAAATATATTATTTAGAAACATGAGCAGCAATTTTTCTTTCAAATAGAGACTGGGACCTAATTCCTCTGATTTCTTTAGGCACTGAGTTCCATATTTTTGCCCCATTAAACATAAAACTCTTTTTCATGCTATTTGTGCGGGGCTGTGGCAAAACGAGTGCTGTTTCATTGTCACGGAGACAGTAATGCGTATTCTCATTCTTGTAGGTAAAAAGGTCTGTTAGGCTTTTAGGCCCAGACATATTCAAAATTTTGAACATTAATTTTGCCTTAGCTTTAGTTCTTTGTACTTTTAGTGTCTCCCATCCTAACGAATTTAATGCGATTTGGGCATTAACTTTGTTACCCATGTCCATAATAATTCGAGCGCATCTATTTTGAAGCTTTTGTAATCGTTGTGATTGAGTTTCACCAAAAATGTCCCACACTTCACAACAATAAGTAAAGTATGGTTGTACAATTGCGTTAAATATAGAAACAAGTGTATCACGGTCAACAAATTCTTTTAGTGTTCTAATAACAGAAATGGCCGATGTGATTTTCTTACAGATACTCTCAGTGTTACTTTTCCAAGAGAGATGCTGATCAACTATTACTCCTAGTGTCTTGCATTCCTTCACTTGTTTAATTGGTCTGTTTTCAATCATTATGTTTAAATTTGAATCTGAAACAGTATGCACTAGAGATCTCGATCCTATGCGCATAAATTCAGTTTTGGCAATGTTTAGACTCAGTTTGTTCGCGTTTAACCACATTCTGAGGTTTTCCAAATCAGAGTTCACTGCATTTTCAACATCATCAATTGTACCACCGGAAGCAGTGAGGTTAAATCACACTATCACGTGGTACAAATGCTGTTTTTTCATTGGACAATTTGAATTTGAGGTATAATATTGTTTACTATCTAGTATCTAATTTATTATTATGTTTTAGTTTAACATGAAATCAGTATTAACTGTGATACGCATGCACGCACTCAGTCTGGAAACAGACTGTATACGCAGCAATATCATCCCTAACCGCGTTTTCGACAAAACGATTTCTATTTAACAATTAGTCACCAAAGGCGAGGTGATTACAAGCCTATATTTCCCCTAACTATAAACTTCATGCAAGCCTCTGCGGAGGTGAGAGGTACCGGCATACTTCGAAACCCGGACCGGACTCGAAAAAAATATTCGAGAAAATCCGGCTTTGACGTTTTGAAAACCCGGACTCGGCCCGACTCGAAATAGAAAAAACCGGATTCGAAACAAGTACTCTGTGTACGAGAATGGAAAGGTTTTTGCAAAGGTTCTCTCTGTAGACTAATATATTGTAGAGTAATAACTAAAATCCTTTTAAGAAGTCAGGAATGTCTTGTCTCGAAACGATTGGAACATTGGAGCAAAGCATTATTTACAGCTACCACTATGGCATGCAGGGCAATTAGCCTCGGCAATCTGATTATTGAAACCCATTTTTCAATACTGATTTTATACTATAAGCCTCTTTATGAACTATGTATAGTCATTAGTACACGAGTGGCATTGTCGTTGATAAAAAAACTATATACGTTACAACTTCAATCAGTGACATTGAAAGGAAAGTGGTAAATAATTTATTAAATACTTTTGCAGTGATAGACTGAATTATATATATGTGCATGTATAACAATAAATGAAACTGAATTATATGTGTATAACGTACACTAAATTACAATTGTAGGTAATACTGATTATCACTGTACCACTATACACTAAATTACAATTTAGGTAATACTGATTATCACTGTACCACTAAAATGACTATTTAGATAGATATGTATAATAAAGTTCGACAGGTTATTTTCGCAAATACTACGCAAATTCACATGCAATCTCCCCCCCCCCTCCCCCACCCTTCCCCATTTCAATGTTGCCATATTATTTGCTGAGAGCCAGTTACTGAAACTGTGAAACACAAAACCAATTTAGATTTACACCGTAAACCTCCGATTATAAGCCCTGGGCTTATATTCGTTCGTATGGATTTTTGTGGACTTATGCATGGAGGGGCTTATATTTGGGGCCGGCGGGTGGCTAATATTGGGAATAATGGTCTGAACGTTAGTGAATATGGTGGGATTATATACGGGAGGTATATATGTTGAAATAAAGGCGACTATAAACAGCTGCTCTACCGAAGTAAACCTAATCGTCGACACCGTGAATGTTTTTAAGATTTTTTGAAAAATTTGTCAACAAAAAAGTTGAAATCACACAATTACGTGGAATTATGTCATGTGACGTCATTTTTGAAACGGTACTTTAATGACTGAAATTATGAGGTATTGTCCCACGTGCGCAAAACAAGAGTGCGTGCAATACAAAACTGTGAAATTAGGGGCCTGTTCATTTATGCCCAGATAACCAGGACACTCGCTCGAATGCGATTCTCGTGCCATGGAAATGCATATAAAATTCGATTTATGTTCGTATAAGAAAGGAGCGGCCAAGTGAAAGGTGAGATCTCACCATTGGACTATAAATAAACTGGAAGGCTAACTCCTATGATGAAGGCCTATGATTCGTTGAAGCCGACACGCGGGAAAATCAGCTTTCAAAAGGACTAAGGAGAGTTTCGAGGAGTGAAAAAAAATTCCGTCAAAAGTTTGTTTTTGAGCAAAAATTTGCAAGAAAAACACTTTTTCCATGGGAATACTACAATGATTGGAAAAAGATTAACTGTTTTAGAATGGTCTAAAATGAAAAAGGAAAGTGAGAAAAGAAACTGATCAAAAGCCTAAAATTTATCGATATAAAAAGTGTATTTTTCAAAAAATATTTGCAAAGAGGGACTGGCACTACCTACAAAGCACGGGGGGGATTGAAGCCGACCCCCCCCGTGTCAGCCTTCTAGTTTACTTATAGTTCAATGGATCTCACGCCTATAGCCGGGCAGGTGTGATGACAGTCAAGTGGGATAAAATTTTCCTTCATCTCATCTAACCGGGATCGACATTTTTACTGACTTTGACCTATATAAAGTTACTGTATTGAAGGGCAGAAATTAGAATAAAAAAGTAAACATTAAAAGACCTAAACAGACACTAATAAAAGTTGTAGTGCAATGTACATGCAGTTTGGTCAACTACAACAAAAGCTATTCTGAAGAGGTCATGCATGTTCACGCAAGTCTGTCCTACCGAGGCGCGATATTAGATGGGATCAAAATAGTCATGCATATGAACGAAAAATTAACCGGGCCCATATGAATAGGCCCTTAGGTTAACCGGGTGATTTGCAAATTCCAATGCATGCGTAAAAGCTTGTTAAATATATGGAGGTCGAGGAACCTGTTAAATCTGATTAGAACTAATTAAATAATAGCAAATTAAATACTCTATAATTTTTTTTCTATTCGTACTATTTTATCTTCCAGCACACTTCAATTCTTGTCATGGAAAATTTTGATAATGTGCCTGTAGAAAAAGAAATGCATAAAATAAACAGACTTGACTTAAACACTGTTTTACCTAAGTTTTCGTGTGAGTTGTATGGCACAAGCCACGACAGCCGTCTATTTTAGCATTCTTGAACTGTCTGTGCCAGTGTACTGAGGTAGTGCCATTACTGTATTAACAACTAGTTGTCGTTGGTAGGGATGCAACTACCTGAGCATATGAGGAGAATTTCGACGTTTTGAGCGAAGCCCTTCGTCTGGAGTAAGTAGTCGAAGTCGGGAAAATTACATGAACTTTTATACTAAGAATATGAAAGCGATCACGTGATAAAAAATAAATCAATAGATGGATTTGGTTAAAACTAAGTATGTAAATCACACTACAGAATATATTAATACAAATATACACAAAACTACAACAAACAGAACAAAATATATGAGACAACTATGGAATAAGGTAAGCATTAAATGTATTGTCAACGTCTGCTTCATCTGGCAGATAGAGTTATGCATAGGAAAACGTTCATTAATGCTGCAGAAGTGGTCAATGCCAAGTTTGGAAATGAGGCGCATTTCGTGTCTTTTGCGGCTATCGTTGCTTCCATGAGAGAATTTCCATATCAGAAGCACTGTGATTGCCAGTATTAAAATGTCTGGCATAGGATTCTTGCCCGCAAATGACTGCACGCCGATGCTCATCAAACCTTGTCCTCAAAGATCTACATCTACATTTTATTAAGTCGGTAAAAATCGGACGATTATCGCACCAACTATAACAATACAAAATACAAATTCAAAAAACCTAACTACAACTATCTCAACCAATCAATAATAAAATATTACTTAATAAAATTCTTGAGTTCACTCTTAAAAGTATCTAGAGTTTCTGATAAAAGTAATTCCTTAGGAAGACTGTTCCACTCAGTTAGCGTTCTAGGATAGAAAGAATATTTAAAAATGTCCTTCGTAGCTCGAGGTACTCTATATTTAAACGTATGACTATTTCGTGTTCTTGTTTCTTGACTTGGAACCAGCACGTTTTCCGCGTTCAAGTTAAGTAGACCACGACTTAACTTGTACATCATACATAGGCGCGTACGTTTCCTTCTTGTTTCCAATGTATCCCAATCCAGCTCTTTCGTCATGGCTGATACACTAGCTGTCCGATCGTAATTTTTTAAACAGAATCGTGCCGCTGATCTCTGAACTCTTTCAACAGCAGCAACATCTTTCTTATAGTAAGGGTCCCATGCTGTAGACGCATATTCAAGCGTTGGTCTTACAAGACTTTTATAAGCAACTTCCTTGACATCTCTTGGACAATTCCATAGGTTCCGCTTGATAACATGTAATATGACATTTGCCTTCCGAGTGGTGTTAGATATATGAGATGACCATTTCATTTTATTATCAAACATCACCCCGAGATATGGATGGTTTTCGACTTCTTCCAGTATTTGGCCACAGAACATATACTGTTTCTTTATGATATTCTTTTTAGTTGTAATGCACATCACTTTACACTTGGTCGAATTAAACTCCATTTGCCAGCGGTCTTGCCACTCCTCTAATTTACACAAATCAGCCTGGAGAGAATCTGCATCTACATCACTTTCAATAAAACAGTACAGCAGGGCATCATCGGCAAACAGTCTTACAGTAGATTTCAATTCTCCAGCCAAGTCGTTTATATACAGTAGAAACAAAACAGGACCAAGAACTGTGCCCTGCGGTACGCCAGAAGTAACTGTAATAGGAGTTGATGTCGCGCCATCACATACCACAACTTGACTTCGATCTATAAGAAACGACTTAAACCATTCTTGGAGTGGACCCCGGATCCCATAGTACTCCAACTTCGTCAATAATCTCTGATGAGGGACTTTATCAAAAGCTTTTGAGAAGTCTAAAATAGCCAAATTTACTTGTTTGTTTTGTTGAATAGCATTAGTAATATCATGAGTAGTGCATATCAGTTGAGTTTCTGTGGATCGTTTAGCCCGGAAGCCGTGCTGATTATCAATGAGAATGCTATGCCTTTCGAGATGCTTCATTAAGTGGCTATGCACAATGTGTTCTAAAACCTTACTAGCGATGCAGGTTAAAGATATCGGCCGATAGTTTCCCGGGTCACACTTTTTCCCTTTTTTAAATACCGCACATACATTGGCTTCTTTCCATTTGCCAGGTAAGCTACCGCTACTAACTGATTCCTGGTAGATATCTGTCAGAATCGGTGCTATTTGACTTGCATTTTCTTTTAGAAACCATGGTGGAATTCCATCCGGTCCACTTGCTTTCTTTGCATCTAAGGATGCTAGTTGTTTCTCGACTCCTTTCACCGTGATCACAATATTACCAATGGCAGGCGTGAAGTTACTTCCTGGAGTTGGTATATTCTCGACATTTTCTGTCGTGAAAACACTAGCAAATTGTTTACTAAGTACCTCAGACTTTAAACCGGCATCGCTAATGAGTTTCATCATCCAGTTTCCCCAATAATGCATGCCATCTACTTCATAACATGATGTAGATGAGATGGGGAGGGGGTAACACCAAATCCCTCCTAGTATAAACTTATCATCCTTTTAGTTTCAAAGTTAGAGATGG